ATACGAGAAAGTAAAAAACAACTAAATAGCGGCGTATGATATGCCGCGGGTCGGCTCGTTAATTATATTTTAATGAGTTCACCAAAGCCACATTGAGCTAATTGAAACCTGATCTAACCAATCATGTCGTAGTTGTGAAACAAAATAAAAACATCTCTAAACGTGTAGTTTATCTGCCACTAGTACGACCCTCTTGATAAAATCAACAAACGGGTGCGCGGACCTTTGACCACAGGTGCTTTGACCATAGGGGGTTTGACCATAGGGGGTTTGACCACAGCGGAGCTTTGACCATAGGGGCTTTGATCATAGGGGGTTTGACCACAGCGGGCCTTTGACCATAGCGGTGCTTTGACCATAGGGGGTTGATCATAGGGGGTTTGACCATAGGGGGTTTGACCACATGTGTTTTCTCAGCATAGGGTCTTTGATCACCGGTGGTCTTTCAACTGGTGTTTGATCGCAAGCGCTGTGTCCGGCTTTGATCATAAGTGTGATACAATTAACACGATTGTATACATGTTTCCTGAAAGTAAGTTAATAGAAATTAACATGTATTTTAAAAAAGCCAAGAACTATATTTTAGTCTCCACATAAAGGCTGGTGCTAGGCCTCATAGATTTATTTTAAATATAAATGAAATACAAATAATGCGACAAGTAAAATTGTCTTTTGCCGTGTGCAGTCTATCTGTAGGAAACGTCACATTGTGGGTGACTACATTGGAGGAGAGACTGAAGACTGTAATGCCATCCTTCACAAATGTTATTTGTTCGTGCTACACCATCGCCAATCGTGTGCATTTGATTCCAAGTTTCAACTGGAAACAAAGCAAGCTTGTACTTTTCGCCACGACCACGGATGCGACGACCTCGGACACAGCGCTTGTGATCAAACACCAGTTGATAGACCACCTGTGATCAAAGACCCTCTGCTGAGAAAACACCTGTGGTCAAACCGCCTATGGTCAAACCCCCTATGATCAAACCCCCTATGGTCAAAGCACCGCTATGGTCAAAGCCCCGCTGTGGTCAAACCCCCTATGGTCAAAGCCCCTATGATCAAAGCTCCGCTGTGGTCAAACCCCCTATGGTCAAACCCCCTATGGTCAAAGCCCCTATGGTCAAACCCCCTATGGTCAAACCCCCTATTGTCAAAGCACCTATGGTCAAAGCTCCGCTGTGGTCAAACCCCCTATGGTCAAAGCACCTATGATCAAAGCTCCGCTGTGGTCAAACCCCCTATGGTCTAACCCCCTATGGTCAAAGCACCTGTGGTCAAAGGTCCTAGGACCAACAAACGGAATGATCAATACAAGACTGGACGTCATAAGGTCACACGGTACGGCTGACGACATAAGGTCACACGGTACGGCTAACGAACAAGCCTATTATCTCCAGGTATCTGGCGATGCTGAAGGAGAGAGAGGACCTGGTCTGGGAGCAGTCTCAAGATGACGTCACTGACACCGAATTCATTGAAGTCACAGGTTAACTGTAGCGCTAAAACATCAACGTTTTAGATTAAGTTTTTGATTAAGTATTTAGATTAAGTTTTTAGTAAAATTAGAAAATTTTAAAATATTAAAAAAAAAAATTGAAAATGTTTATTGTCAAGTGTAATATCACATACACTATCGTGTATTTTGTTATAGAGTCCCCACCGAAATACGCGGAAATTCTTCCCGAAGACTTCCTGTTTCCGTTCGAGAATTTGATCTTTGAGGGAGGTGGCAACAAGGGACTCGCCTATGTAGGTGGTATAAAGGTGAGGATAGTTGTCCCTCTGGCAAAAGTCTATGTGGTCATTTATCCCACTTATGAAAACGTTCTTTCTGGTTTTTGTTCAAACCTTACAAACTTCTGTTTGGGCATGTTTTCTATTTGTGAAAACGTTCGTTCGGGCATTTTCCCCAAACAGTACAAATGTCCATTCGGGCATTTGTTCAATAAATGCAAACGTCCATTCGTGCAAGTATCATTAGAGCATTACTCGTAGAACCCATTAGAGAGTTGCTGATATGATGTTGTGAAACTGTGGAGTGCAGAGTTAAATTAAAAACAGCTACTTGTTTAGGATTGACATGCATTTATTTGATTGATAATTGATTACTTACGAAAGTTCTTGAACTTTGTACGTGTGTTTCAGTACTTTGAGGAAATAGGAATGATGCCAGGAATTCGAAGGTTTGGTGGAAGTAGTGCAGGGGCAATAACCGCAACACTGGTAGCCCTGGGTTACAGTTCCTGCGATATAGAAGTTTTCATGTCGGATGATCTTGAGGAGATATTTTTAGGTGAGTTCCTGACGTCTTGTAGGACTTTAAGGTCCTGTGTCTGACGTCATTGCGCCTAGCTAGACCATTGACGAGAAGTTGTAGATTGCAGAAGGAACTTATTTAGCCAAAGTTAAATTTCTAAACAAATGTGTATTTTGCTGGTCAAACTACCACTAACGTGACATGTTCTGGTGTCGTGTCCACCCTTAGACCACTCCTGCGGGTACTTCAGCCTTCTGCCCAACCTCCTGAGCAAGTTTGGCTGGAATCCTGGCGACAGATTTTCTGATTGGTGCGGTGAAATGATCAAAGAAAAGTCTTCGACAGCGAACCCCGACATGACCTTCTATGATGTAAGAAAAGTTTTCGTTGTTTAGAGAAACCTTCTTTGCTGTTAGTTGTTTTACGTTTAGTTTAGCTCTGCTTAACACCCTCTAGCCCCCACTAACCCCCTTTAATCCCCTCTAACCCCCTCTAACCCCCCTCTTACCCCATCTAACCCCCTCTAACCGCATCTAACCCCACTTACCCCCTCTAACCACTCTAACCCCCACTAACCCCCTCTAACCCCCTATAACCCCCTTAACCATCTCTACAGTTGTGCAAGGTATGTAGGCTGTTGCTTTGTTTTGTTCGTACCAATCCAACCCCTCTTAACCCTAACCCAACCCATCGTAACCCTAACCCAACCCATCTTAACCCTACCCTACCCATGTCTACATTTGTACAGAGAACGTAGAGTGGAGCTGTGTATTGTGGTCACTTAGTCTAATCAACCTTGACCCTAACCCAACCCATCTTAACCCAACCCATGTCTACAGTTGTACAGAGAACGTAGAGTGGAGCTGTGTATTGTGGTCACTTAGTCTAATCAACCTTGACCCTAACCCAACCCATGTTAACCCAACCCATGTCTACAGTTGTACAGAGAACGTAGAGTGGAGCTGTGTATTGTAGTCACCAACCTGAACCAGATGAGGAGTGAGTACTGCCACCCCAAAACTACACCGGATATGCCGATAAGGGAAGCAGTGCGCATGTCAATGGCCTTGCCAGGTCGGTTAAGGTTTTTATAAGAGAAAAAAAGAGAAATAACAAGGATATATATATATATATATATATATATATATATATATATATATATATATATATATATATATATATATAAACAAACGCGTTTCATCAATCAAGAGCTAAAACTAAATAGAGTAAATATAAAATAAATTGGTAAATCGAGACCCTCCTCGGAAAAACGCAACATGCTCAAATAAATTAAATTTAAAAAAAAAACAACCTTGTAATAAAAAGGTTTAAAAAAGTTTTAAAAATAAAATATAAAAAATTAACAGAAATTTGATATGAAAGAATTCGACGCTAAAATATTTAGCGTTTTTTATTAAAGATTATACATATTTGCTGTATTAGCATTAAGTGAAAGCCGAGTTAAAACGTTAATCACAAACAAACAAACAAACAAACAAAACATACAAGCTTATAAAATTATTTTAACATTTTTACTTAAAGCAAGTTTTTTTTTCATAAAATGTCACGAGAATCGTAAATGAATGGTAAAAGTACAGATTAAAAGTAGAATTATATCCTGATCAGATTAATAAACTCACTAAATACCCTAATTTAAAGGAACGAAAATTAATTGCAATCGCAAATTAAGTTTTGGATATTTTTTCTTTGTAAAAATTTAATTGCTTTATTTGATTTTTGTTTTTTTGTTTCATGCAACCTTAAAGGTTTATTTACTGCCCGTTTCTATGACAACCACGGTCGAACGGACACGTATGTTGATGGTGGTCTCCTGTGTAACTACCCGATACACTGTTTTGATGGTCAGTTGTGTTACCTTCGTGTATCTCGTCCATACGTTAGACATACAGATTTGTTTTTAGTTCAGTCTCTTGAAGATACTATTTCAATGATTAGTTTGTTTATATTATTACAAGCTTTTATTTAACTTGCTTCCTCTGAATCTCTATCGTCATGAATCGAAACTGGTGAGCAAAATTTAGATCATTTCTAACTGACCAATTTCTTAAAAACTTGACACCTGGTTCAAGATCCAATGACGATACATCACGCATCTAAAAAATACCCATTAGCTAAGAAATTGCATCAGTCATATGGCGTTAATAAAACGTCTAATAATAATTTTTAACATGTTAAAGAATCAATCCAGTCGAGTTTCGTCAGTTTTAGTATGACGCAATCTTTTTTTTTTTTACATGATCCAATCAGAAATTAAGATCCGCGTCTCAAAATACACCATTAGTGATGATACATGTGTTTCAATTCAAATGTACATGGAATTTCATCATATTTTCATTTTAATAGGATTTATACGTTTAAATAAAAACGCAAATTGAATGTTACCATGACTTATTTCTTTAAATTTCTTAATTCTGAGACCCCAGCAACGCGGAATAATAATGCACCAGCATATAAATAACTTTAAAGAAAAACGTGGGTTGTTTTAAATTTTTGTAAAAGTATTAAATACTTAACTTAGTGATGTGTGGTTGAATAATTAATCTATTTACAAATGCATTTTTTTATTTATTCAAGGGAAACAACCAAATTGGTTCCTACTACCGCCGCTGAGCACTCAATTTCTTCCATTCTCCTTCACCTACCCTGCAATACACTCCAACATGCTTTTATCCCATACTAAACTACAATCCTGTCATCTACCCCAGGCTGGTACCTATCAATGGCCAAAGAAGATTCGTTCCTGCAGCGTGTGAAATCTCTGCAAGAGTTACCGTACTTGAAGGCTCAGTTCTTTCAACCACCAAGTAACAAAACAGTGGGGTTTCTTGTGGTAGGTAGATGTACAGCGGGGTTTCTTGTGGTAGGTAGATGTTAAACCACCCAGTTAAATACAGTGGGATTTCTTGTGGTACGTAGATGTACAGTGGGGTGTCTTGTGGTAGGTAGATGTACAGTGGGGTTTCTTGTGGTAGGTAAATGTTACATTTAAACCAGCCAATTACAGTGGGGTGTCTTGTGGTAGGTAGATGTACAGTGGGGTTTCTTGTGGTAGGTAGATGTACAGTGGGGTTTCTTGTGGTAGGTAGATGTTCTTGTGGTAGGTAGATGTACAGTGGGGTGTCTTGTGGTAGGTAGATGTACAGTGGGGTTTCTTGTGGTAGGTAGATGTACAGTGGGGTTTCTTGTGGTAGGTAAATGTTACATTTAAACCAGCCAATTACAGTGGGGTGTCTTGTGGTAGGTAGATGTACAGTGGAGTTTCTTGTGGTAGGTAGATGTACAGTGGGGTGTCTTGTGGTAGGTAGATGTACAGTGGGGTTTCTTGTGGTAGGTAGATGTACAGTGGGGTTTCTTGTGGTAGGTAGATGTACAGTGGGGTGTCTTGTGGTAGGTGGATGTACAGTGGAGTTTCTTGTGGTAGGTAGATGTACAGTGGGGTTTCTTGTGGTAGGTAAATGTTACATTTAAACCAGCCAATTACAGTGGGGTGTCTTGTGGTAGGTAGATGTTCTTGTGGTAGGTAGATGTACAGTGGGGTGTCTTGTGGTAGGTAGATGTTCTTGTGGTAGGTAGATGTACAGTGGGGTTTCTTGTGGTAGGTAGATGTACAGTGGGGTTTCTTGTGGTAGGTAGATGTACAGTGGAGTTTCTTGTGGTAGGTAGATGTACAGTGGGGTTTCTTGTGGTAGGTAGATGTACAGTGGGGTTTCTTGTGGTAGGTAGATGTACAGTGGGGTTTCTTGTGGTAGGTAGATGTACAGTGGGGTTTCTTGTGGTAGGTAAATGTTACATTTAAACCAGCCAATTACAGTGGGGTGTCTTGTGGTAGGTAGATGTACAGTGGAGTTTCTTGTGGTAGGTAGATGTACAGTGGGGTGTCTTGTGGTAGGTAGATGTACAGTGGGGTTTCTTGTGGTAGGTAGATGTACAGTGGGGTTTCTTGTGGTAGGTAGATGTACAGTGGGGTGTCTTGTGGTAGGTGGATGTACAGTGGAGTTTCTTGTGGTAGGTAGATGTACAGTGGGGTTTCTTGTGGTAGGTAAATGTTACATTTAAACCAGCCAATTACAGTGGGGTGTCTTGTGGTAGGTAGATGTTCTTGTGGTAGGTAGATGTACAGTGGGGTGTCTTGTGGTAGGTAGATGTTCTTGTGGTAGGTAGATGTACAGTGGGGTTTCTTGTGGTAGGTAGATGTACAGTGGGGTTTCTTGTGGTAGGTAGATGTACAGTGGAGTTTCTTGTGGTAGGTAGATGTACAGTGGGGTTTCTTGTGGTAGGTAGATGTACAGTGGGGTTTCTTGTGGTAGGTAGATGTACAGTGGGGTTTCTTGTGGTAGGTAGATGTACAGTGGGGTTTCTTGTGGTAGGTAGATGTACAGTGGGGTTTCTTGTGGTAGGTAGATGTACATTGGGGTTTCTTGTGGTAGGTAGATGTTACATTTAAACCAGCCAAATACAGTGGGATTTCTTATGGTATGTAGATGTTACATTCAAACCAGCCAGTTAAATGTAGTGGGATTTCTTGTGATTTTTCTTTAAAACCACTTAATTACAAAACACTGATATTCGTGTAATATTAGATTTTAATAATAATTATTATTGATATTAGTATGTTAATTTATTCCAGTTTGGTGAGTAAAGTGTGATGTTTTTCCCAGTTTGATGTAAAATGTGATGTTTGTCCCAATTTGATGAGTAACATGTGATGTTTGTCCCAATTTGATAAGTAAAGTTAATGTTTTTCCCAATTTGAAGAGTAAAATGTGATGTTTTTCCTAGTTTGATGAGCAAAATGTAAACTTTTTTTTTGGATTTTGGACCCCCCCCCCCCCGGTCCACAAAAATCCACTTTTTTCCTTATAAAAGTCCATATGCGTCCACAAAAGTCAGTTTTTTTTTCGGACCCCCCTCCCCCCCCCCCCCCCCGCGTGTGGACGTCATAAATGGATGACCTCTAATGTTTGTTTGATAAGTAAAGTTTGATGTTTTTCCTTGTTTGGTGAGTAACATATGATGTTTTCTCAGTTTGATATGTAAACTGTGATGTTTTTCCCAACTTGATGAGTAAAATGTGATGTTTCCCCAGTATGATGAGTAAAATGTCATGTTTTTCCCAGTATGATGACATCGAGATGGAGGTCATGCGGTACAGACTAGAAAACAGAAACGGCTGTAACGAACCAGCAACTCCAAGTAAACAAACCAAATTGTTTAAGTGAGTTCTTTCCCCTCCTAGACAATGATAACTTATCTTTCTTGTTGTTCGTATAGTCATGTATTGTGGCTTAAATCGCTAGCTATTTCACCTTTTAAAAACAGGGTATTATCCTTTAGTTTTCTGTCGTATGTGCAAATTCAGGGCTTTAAGTAAGTTTAAATCTATTTATGATTAAAATAATATTGTATTTTAAAAATTTAAGTTTCATTTTTATTGAGTGTTTAAATCAACTTTTGTTTCTCCCTCATCTTATACTTGTCTTTCTAAGTGTTTGTCTTGTAGACTTACTTGGCGCCGCTGTTATCCTTCTGCTTTACTACCCCCCCCCCTGCATCCTCTGCTTTATTCCCCCCCCTCCCCTGCACTAAGCCATCATCTGCTTTATTCCCCCTCCTTTCTTGCACAGCCATTCTCTGCTTTACCCCCCCCCCCCTGCACTCAGCCATACTCTGCTTTACCCCAACCCCACCCACCCTACACTCAACCATCCATAGGTCCTCTACTAATGTCGAACCCTGGCGTTGTTTTCTGTCTTATTTACATCAGCCTTGTAATTTTCCTTATGAGAAAATTTTAACTAGACCTAACTCTCGTGTGCCATGTCCATCCCAGTTGAATCTTTGTTTAGACTCATGTTTTGGTTCAATGCGAACATTCTCTTCTAGGCCGTCTGTGTGGGATTATCAATTGGTTCCTTATTTACCACTTGTACAGTGGCAACACAGGTCGTATTTTATAGAGCTGTGTTTTCTTAGCATCAACCACATTTACATGTGATTTCATAAGTTGTGTTTTATTAGCTACAACCACATTTACATGTATTTTCACAAGCTGTGTTTTCTTAGCACCAACCACATTTACAAGTGATTTCACAAGTTGTGTTTTCTTAGCACCAACCACATTTAAATGTGATTTCACAACTCACACAAAAACAAGTCAATGTGTTTTACCCAGACTGAAGCAGAAGAAGAAAACTGCCAAAGGAAAAGCTGACCGTGAACACAGACGAATCGTCAAGGCTGTGGAGAATTTCATGAAGGTCAGGGCGTGATGGGACAATGTGTGGTTTCAATTTCAGCTTTCATGATTAGAAATTATTTTTGTTTAGTTTAAGGTTTGTTTTTATGGTTATGAGTTTACTTTGTCTTGAAGGAAATAGTTCAACATATTGTTAATGTAAGATGTGAAGTTAAGGTGGCTCTATAAAGTCCTATTTTGTGCATTTACAAGAACCTACTACCTAAGCCTACACTCACAAAGCTATTTGTATTAGAATATTACTTTTATAGCGCCATTCGCTTTAATCAGTAGTACCATCAGCTTTAAACACAAACCCTAAACTTCATCATTACCACTACAGGCCCTAAACAAGCACAATTTAGACGACAATGAATTTATTGATAAACACGAACTACAGGATGCACTTGAAGACGTAAGGAATTCTTTTATATTTTAATTAAATTTTAAAAATTGTTTGTTTTATTAGTAACTTTATAGCAACACATAGTGGCGATGTAGAGACATTGAAGTTCAGGAATTTCTTGAGAGAGCAATAGTAACTTTTTGTTGACTAATGACTAATACGGTCCAGCTAACGTGGTGTACGTACCTTTTTTTAAATGTAAGTCTAATTAAAGAGACTCGGCAGGTTATTTGCTGTTGTTTTTTGTTTCCAGAGAGACGTGTTTTCTGAAGATGACGTCAGACTTTTGTTCGGAGAAACGTCGGGAGTGGATGCGGCGTTTAAAATTTTAGACAAAGATGGGAACGGTCAGGTAGGTAATTAGACGTAACGGTCAGATAGGTAACTGGACGGGACGGTCAGGTAGGTAATTGGTTGTTTTTCTTTAGAATTTTTGTACTGAACGATATAGGTGTTTTAGACGTGTTCAACCATTGTTCATTTTGTTCAGAAATTTAAATTTGTTTTGTTTTAGATACAGTTTCGAGAGCTGGTCCTTTTTATCGAAGAACAAGGAATCAGGTTACAGGTAGAATATTTTTGTTCCGTCCATTTTGTATGTTTTGATGTATTATTTTTAAATTATCTTTAGCATAGGTTATGGTGGCCGTATATATATATATATATATATATATATATATATATATATATATATATATATATATATATATATATATATATATATATATATAACATAATTATTTGTTTTTAGATAAAAAATAAAACATTTCAAATCATTTAGGTCCACGTACAAAGTGTTTTGCAGATTTTATATTTTTATTATCATAATTTCAAAGCAAACTTTATAAAAAAAACAACACCATATTCCCACATCCATACTCCTTAAAAAAATCTTATAAAAATTCCAGACGAGGTTCCAGGGATTCGGAAGAAGAGACGTCCAGAATTTGGGCGATTTTTTATCCGCTCTGATGGACACGATGTTGACCAACCTCAAATATGTCTTTGTTAAGGTCAGATGTTGACTTTTTATTTGTTAATGTGATATGTAGCCTCTTGTGTTGGTTAATGGGATATGTAGCCTCTTGTGTTGGTTAATGTGAGGTATAGACATAAGCACTGGTTAATTTTAAGTGTAGCCCTTGTGTTGGTTAATGTGAGGTATAGACATAAGCACTGGTTAATTTTAAGTGTAGCCGTTGTGTTGGTTAATGTGAGGTATAGACATAAGCACTGGTTAATTTTAAGTGTAGCCCTTGTGTTGGTTAATGTGAGGTATAGACATAAGCACTGATTAATTTTAAGTGTAGCCCTTGTATTGGTTAATGTGAGGTATAGACATAAGCACTGGTTAATTTTAAGTGTAGCTTTAGTATAGGTTAAGGTAAAATGTAGCCCTTGTATTGGTTAAGGTCAGACATAGCCTGTTGTTTGTAGTAGATGAAGAGTAGATTTAGTTGGATGTAACGAGTGCTCTTCTGCCATTTCTTGGAAGGCTTTCTTATGTTCTTCGTTGTTGATGAAAGAAAGAGTATAAATTATGTCATCAATCTGATTCTCAAAACTTTCGTTTAATTTCGATAATTAACGCATCTAATTCTCAAAATGTTTATATGTTTTGTCCAAGTCATAAATCTAATTTGAAAAACGAAATTTTACGAACACGTTTGGCATATTTCAACACTTACAGGAATCTGATGACTTCAGGACAGTGGGCATCAACACAGGGCATATCGGAACTACGGATTATGCCCTGGAAGAGGCAGATAAAGAGTTCCTGATTCAGGTATGAAAGTGTTTACAGAATGTTGTATACACTTGATAATGTCACTACAGTTCCACTCTTAAGACATACAAAGGCTGGCACTAATTATATGAACTTAATTATTCGCTTGACATCGTAAACTATTTCAGGGCTCAAGGAATACACATTTTAATAACTTGACTACTTCATATTATGTTATTGAGATTCGGTGTAACACAAAATATCTAAATAGGAAAAAAACAACGCGTGTAGTGAGTGCTGATCAAAATAGTTGCTCGAGAACAAGATTTTATTTATTTTTAGATCCGTTTTGACAAATCCTTTAAACTAATAATAGGTGCTAGGAAAACGCCGGTGTTTTTGATTAATCTGTTCTACTATACTTCGAGGTGACGTCTAGGGCACACTCAAGAGTTGCTAGTGTATCGAACTATTGATTAGAGAGATTGTAAATGTATTGTTTTGTCTCTTGTTGACAGAGGGGCTACAACGCTACCAGAGCGTTCTTGAAGTATTACGTGGCTAAAGGCAGGGAGTGCCAGAGGAAAACCACAGGCCATCTTCTCAATGGGGGCCCTAACACGGACGTTACAGATGGGGGCCTAGGGCTAGACACTGGGGGCCCTCACACAGACGTTACAGATGGGGGCCTAGTGCTAGATACTGCTAGTGGGGGCCGTGCTTAAGACAACACTTCTAATGGGGCCTCACGATAGACAATGCTAGTGGGGGGGACCTGTAAAATACATCGTTAGATTTGTGTACCCCACTAGACAGATGGCCCAGTGGGACTCTACATTGGATAGTGTTGTCAGTGGGGGATCCCACGTGACAGAAATATCATTCTGACATGTCAGTGTTACTGTCAGTCAGCTGACGTCCCATGAGGTAACAGAACGACACTTGTAACTCTCATATCTCAGTTGTAAATATATTGGGCACACTTGAAAGCTACAGAAACATGTCTTATTGGCAAGTGTGTCAAATCATATTTTTTCCGATTTTTTTATTTCTTTTTAAAATCTCGCTTTTTAAAATGTTTAAATTTAAAAAATATATTTTAAATATTTATTTCATAAAACTAATATAAATTATTGCATTAAGGAAAATAACCCATAGATTTTTGTTTTCTGTGTAATCTAGAATAGGTTTGAAAAGCTGATTCCATATGGACATGGTTCGAAATTTTTTTTACCAGAAAGCATATTTTAAAACTAAAATTGGATACTTTACAACATGTGTGTAAAAAGTACAAAATTACTTCCGGTTTTATTATGGCTAGAAATAATTTTAAAAAAATTACTACTAATGTAATAGTAATTTAGCAAACACTTTTATTTTTTATTTGGATTATTAGAATCAAGGTGTGGTGGTGATAGGGGATGTTATTTTATTTAATATAAATAAACTACTAAGCTATAAAACCATTGAACGCTATTGTGTATTTTATCATTGAAAACAATTGTTGTGACTTTCATTGTTTTGCTTTCCCTGGCCATTCCGGTTGATTTCAAGGAGGGGTTGAGGTCGGTTTTTTAAATATTTGAATTATTTAAAATAATTCAAAACGCCTTTTCAACGGCTTATATTCAATACAAAAATATGAAAATGATAAGGTTCCCAAACAGCTTTAAGTTTTTAAAATGTAACTATAGTTTTATCGCTAGCCATATTTTTAAAAAGATTAAAAAAAAGAATTAGCATGATTTCATGGGGTTTTAAAGACTATTGTAGATTGTAAGGTCTGCTGGTGTTTCGTTCATTATACATCTTATTACTATCCCGAATGAAAATATACAAGGCGATTAAAATTTAAGAGTTAAGTGAATCTTTAATCTCAAGCGTATATGAATTGTTGTTACGTTGTTGTTGTGGAAAATACAAAATTGTGAAGCCAATGTAACAATAATGTATGTCACACCAGAAATATACCAAGTTTTGTATAACATTAATACTAATAGTTTCGCTGTCTGTCTATCTATCTATCTATCTGACAAGAACGCTCTAGAGAAAACACAAGGAAAAAAAAACATGCACAGTAATTCGAAAAACGAAGTATGACGTCGACACATTTAGCATCTCAAGCCGGAGAGTGCACACAGTAATATGACGTCATTGATTGTCGAGTAAACATTGAATACAAAGGAAATTTTGTCTAATCTAAATGGTTTGCGTGAAGATTTTCTTGCATACAATTCTTCGGGGAGGGGCGAAGCCCCACCCCCCTCCGCGTAAGAACATCTGAGCCCCCCCCCCCCCTCCCCAACTCAAAAGAAATTTCTTCATCGATACTCTATAGTAAAATTACCGCCTAATTAATGTGTCTAATCTAAAAAGTGGTTTTCTTGCAATTTCTTTAATGCAATTCTTCGGGTAGTGGCTAAGCGCGACACCAGTTTTTCTTTCAGACTTTTTCCTCCCCGGAGAGGGGTGGGGGGTACTAGAAATTTTCGGGGGCGGGGGTAGAATTTTCGTGGAGGGGGCGGACACTGGAAAAAGTATATATAAGTATATTTCGTTGAATGGGACGGTAGACATGTTTTTTTAGGGGGGGGGGGGTGGGGGGGGATGGGATGGTTTTAATTTAGACTTTTTCCTCCCCGGAGAGGGGTAGGGGTACTTGAAATTTTCGGTGGCGGGGGTAGAATTTTCGGGGAGGGGAGCGGACACTGGAAAAGTATATAATTATATTTCGTTGAATGGGACGGTAGAAATTTTTTTTTGGGGGGGAGGGGGTGGTGTGTGTGTGTGTGGGGGGGGGGGGGGGTGGTGTGTGTGTGGGGGGGGGGGGTGGTGTGTGTGTGGGGTGGGGTGGGGTGGTTTGTGTGTGGGGTGGGGTGGGGTGGTTTTAGTTTAGACTTTTTCCTCAACGGAGAGGGGTGGGGTACTTGAAATTTTCGGGGGCGGGGGGTGTGTGTGGGGGGGGGGGTGGGTTGGTTTAGTTTAGAGAAAAGAGACAGCACTATCAGGTGTGTGGGGGGGTGGGGGGCGGTGTGTGGGGGGGTGGTGTGTGTAGGGGGGTGGTGTGTGGGGGGTGGGTGAGGGGGGGGTGGGGGTGGTGGGGGTGGGTGTGTGTGTGGGGGGGTGAGTTGGTTTTAGTTTAGAGAAAAGAGACAGCACTATCAGCCTAGCGCCCGTTGTACCCTTCCTCAACGGGCCATGTTTCTCGTCTATAATAATAGTTTCGCTGTCTGTCTATCTATCTATCTATCTGACAAGAACGCTCTAGAGAAAACACAAGGAAAATAAAAACATGCTTAGTAATTTGAAAAACGAAGTATGACGTCGACACATTTAACACAGAGTAGAAAATAATCTCAAGCCGGATAGTGCACACATTAATATGACGTCATTGATTATCGAGTAAACATTCAATACAAAGGCAATTTGGTCTAATCTAAGTGGTTTGCGTGAAGAGTTTCTTTAATACAATTCTTCGGGTAGGGGCGAAGCCCCACCCCCGCGTAAGAACGTCTGGTTTTAATTTAGACATTTTCCTCCCCGGAGAGGGGTGGGGGGTACTTGAAATTTTCGGTGGCTGGGGTAGAATTTTCGGGGAGGGGGCGGACACTGGAAAAAGTATATAATTATATTTCGTTGAATGGGACGGTATATATGTTTTTTTTTGGGGGGGGGGGGGGGGGGGTGGGGGGTGGGGGTGGTGTGTGTGGGGGGTGGGGGTGGTTTTAGTTTAGACTTTTTCCTCCCCGGAGAGGGGTGGGGGGTACTTGAAATTTTCGGTGGCGTGGGTAGAATTTTCGGGGAGGTGGCGGGCACTGGAAAAAGTATATAATTATATTTCGTTGAATGGGACGGTAGACATGTTTTTTTTTTGGGGTGGGGGGGGGGGGGGTGGGGGTTGGTGTGTGTGGGGGGTGGGGGGTGGTGTGTGTTGGGGGTAGGGGGTGGTGTGTGTGGGGGTGGGGTGGTTTTAGTTTAGACTTTTTCCTCCCCGGAGAGGGGTGGGGGGGTACTTGAAATTTTCGGTGGCGGGGGTAGAATTTTCGGGGAGGGGGCGGGCACTGGAAAAAGTATATAATTATATTTCGTTGAATGGGACGGTAGACATGTTTTTTTTGGGGGGTGGGGGTGGGGGGGGGGTGGTGTGTGTTTGGAGGGGGGGGTGGGGTGGTTTTAGTTTAGAGAAAAGAGACAGTACTATCAGCCTAGCGCCCGTTGTATCCTTCCTCAACGGGCCATTTTTCTCGTAGATACATGTTTCTGTTGAATGTATTTGTACTGCTTGATAATCGTTTATCATGGACAAGGAACTTGTAAAATTATACGCGTAGATACAAGATGACTTGTAATGATAATACCATATTTAACTAGCTAATTGTTAAGAGAATGAATGTGTTATCACAAATTTAATGTGTTGTCACACCCCCCCCCCCCCCCCCCCCCCGCTTTAAATGTAATGTCGTCAGCTGGCGAATGTTACTAGTGGCTAGTGCAAATGAGAGGATTTTGTTTTCAGAAGAGCTCTAATTTCCAAGCATACTGCAAAGTGCAAATACACCTGAACTCGAACACTGACCATATACATATACATATACAATATATATATATATATATATATATATATATATATATATATATATATATATATATATATATATATATTGTAATGATATATATTGTAATGATATTTTTGTGCTTGAATGAAGGTATGTAGGTGTAGAATAGTATAGGAAAGTAAAATGTATAAGGTATTGGATGTAAAAACAAATAATAGCCAACAATAAAATTACCTTCGAAGAGTGATAGTGTTGTACCAGCTACCTACGTGAACAGTTGTACCGTCTACCTGACCTCAACAAAACTACAAGGTACAACCAAAGACTGGCAGTAAAAATACTAATTATCATATTCCCATTATCTGACTAATTACTATAATCCAGGTATCTGATCGTGTGAGGCGCAAGCACAAAGACGTGCTACAAACAGGCCAGCTAACGACTAGGCCCATAATTTTACTTACACTCCTATCTGAACTTGCACGATATTTTTTGTTTGATAAAAGAACTTTGTTATGTTCTTAAAGTGAGTCAAGTCGACCGTGTTGTGTGGAAACTTGAGAGATTTATTGTTTGATAAAAGAACTTTGTTATGTTCTTAAAGTGAGTCAAGTAGACAGTGTTGTGTGGAAACTTGAGGGATTTATTGTTTGATAAAAGAACTTCGTTTTGTTCTAAAAGTGAGTCAAGTAGACAGTGTGGAAACTTGAGAGATTTATTGTTTGATAAAAGAACTTCGTTATGTTCTTAAAGTGAGTCAAGTAGACAGTTTTGTATGGAAACTTGAGAGATTTATTGTTTGATAAAAGAACTTTGTTATGTTCTTAAAGTGAGTCAAGTAGACAGTGTTGTATGGAAACTTGAGGGATTTATTGTTTGATAAAAGAACTTCGTTTTGTTCTAAAAGTGAGTCAAGTAGACAGTGTGGAAACTTGAGAGATTTATTGTTTGATGGAAACTTGAGAGATTTATCCTGCAGATATGGGAGTGTGTTGATAGTTTGTGTGTGTGGGGGGGGGGGGGGGGGGGGGCGAGAAACAGTTTACCTACAATAACAGTGTAACGCCTACTACAACAGTGTAACACCTACAACAGTGTAACACCCACAACTACAGTGTAACACATACAACAGTGTAACACCTACAACAACAGTGTAAAACCTACAACAG